GGTAAGTTTGATGGCTGCTGTAGTTGTTGTTTCTCTATATTTTAGCTTTTTAATCTTTTTGTTTTAATATTACATGCAATTTAGTCTCAGTAAATGCATTTGATGAGCTCTGGTTGCCTGATTTACTTGAACATTGTGTGCATAATTTTGTACATGCAGGTGTGTGTACTGATGTGTGGCAATTGCTTATTTTGCATGTGCAGTGGGTGGGAATCCCACACACATCAAGTGCATGTTATGCAGGGATAGTCACAAAGGGTACTCTACACTTGTGTGGACTCTTTGGATAATTTACTTTTTTCTGCAATCATTTTGCATTATCTAGTTAAATATAAGAGGATGTTAAAATTACTATTTTTTGATGCACCAGGATAAAGCTGAGCAGATCATCCACTCCACCAATAACCAAGTGTTAACTTTACCATCACTTGAAGGACCAGTGACTGGTTCAACAAAAAGCAAGCAACAAGAGGCTGTAGGGTATGTCTTTTGACAGTTATAGTAACAGTTCATGCTCTTTTTAGATGAACATGTATTATGAGTATTGAACAATATTGCTCAGTACTTGTAAGATTGAATACAAAATTGTTTTTATGTTTTGAGAAAGCTTAACGTTATCCACTTTATTATCCTAAAAATTTAGGAGGCAGTGGATAACAGAATCTATTGATTCTTCATCCCATTCTATATTATTTTATTTATTATTCAATTATCTTTTTCAATAAAGGAATCAACGTATGGTAGCATTTAAGAGAAACTCTTCACCACAAAAAACAAGGTTAGTCTGATTGTAATCTGATCAAACTATGTCAAGTCAATACATTAGCACCCTTTCCATCTAATAATGTTTTTGTTAGACAATGATGTTTGCCTAGCATTATAAACTGTATCTAGTACATGTACATTGATTTATAGGATAATGGTATAAAATTTCATCTCTTTGTAATTCCAGTTTCAGGAGTCTCTTAGAGCCAATAGCAATTGCAAAAGAAGGGAACAAACCAGGACCCAATGCCCCTGCTCCTGGGAAACAGGTACATGCACAAACCCACCTTTTGATGGCTTGTCTGTTGAAAATTAATGAACCCAGCCTGTAACTTTTAACTGTATTGAGCATTGTTACACTTTTAGGAATTGGGAGTAGTGTCAAATCTTAGTAACACAGAAATCTATCTTACATAGTTATATACAGGTACATTTACTTAGTATAATGATGTGAAAGACCAATTTTGTTGGAAAATCACCATGCACTGTTCTGCAGAGAATTTTCTCTGATTTTGAAATATAACATGGAAACAAAATAGTCAAGTAATTCCCAGTACATTTATTTAAGCTGCAAGTGCTTGAAAATTATCAGACAATCCTGAATTATTCAAATTCATACTGTGATGCATCATCAATATTTGTGATAATTTTAATAATTTGTTTTTCAGGCTAGAGATCTTAGAAATTTAAAAATCCTCAGTAATCCAGCTCATCCGGAAGCAAGAAACATCTTAAGTGAAAGATATGGTATTGCTCTTCCATACATTGTGGACAAACATGAACAACCAGCTCAGGTTTGTTAATTGAAGTGGTAGGCAGTTCAAGCTTTTTGTTCTTATCAATTGATAACTACTAATTTTCTTTGTGGTATTTTCCATTACGTATTCCATATATGACACACAGGGCATCAACTAACTTAGTGTCATTGACATTGTTACCACATTTTGATGTCTTCTTCTGTGATCTATGAACAAACCCAC